CCCCCCCCGCTGATGTGCCGGTCCACAAAGGCTGGTAGCTGAGTCTGCTTTGTTCCCTGCCATATCCCCAGGGCGTGGAACAGGGACTAGCACATAGGAACTTGGTGCTTAGTAACTACCCCTTGAGTAAATGGATGGACCTGGGTTTTCTGATTTTCATTCATTTATGGATTTATGGATATAAAGTTCCTGCCACGTACCCAACACAGATACAACAGTGGACAAGGCAAGTGGCCCTTGCCCACTTAGAGTGGACACAGAGCCTGGACATCTGGCCTGACCCCTACTTTGCGTACAAACCACACAACAGAATCTCCACCCCCCACACACACTTATGGACTAGACACTGTACACACACACACACACTCATGTGATTAGGATATGAGAGGTATGATGATGGGGGAATGCCTGGGAGGTACACCTAGGCCAGACTTAGGAAATCAGGAAAGGCTTCTCGGAGGAGGTGATGTAAATATTGAATCTGGAAGATAAATAGGAGGTTGGCAGGTCTGGGAAGGACAGTGCTGATTGAGGTGGTGTAGAAAGGAGAGCCTGGTGCACTCCAGGAATGTGGTGTGGGTAGGATGGGGGCAGTTAGTGATGGAAAGAGATGAGGTGGGAAAGGTATGAGGAGCCAGCTCTTCGAGTCTGCCACCTGCTAAGGATTCAGGCGTTCTCCCAAGAACAGTGGGCAGCTTTTGATGTAACAGGAGAGCAGGGAAGGGTAAGCCCTGGTGCAGGTGTGCAGATGCAGATGGAGAATTGATGTTGTTATAAGGATCCAGTAAAAGTTTGAAAAATTTAGTAGCCTGAAAGTATTCCCTGCCTCCCTAAAAGACTCTGGAATGGGTTATTCTAGAAAGAGATCCAAGGTAGCCTTCTGTGGGCCACTGCACACACTTATTTATCTCACTTCTACCCGCCTTTAGTTATCTACTTATATAGATCCACAATCCCTTATCCATGATTTAAAAAATCCAGAAAGTTCTGATAAGTGGGTTTTTCCAAATTTGGTGGCAAAAACCTTACTTGAATGATGAGGCTATTATAGTCCTTATGCTTCCTTTTTGTCTGAATTGTCAGGTTTGCCTGAGAAATATTAATGTATGTGATCCCAGCATCAGGCCCCAGAAGCCACTGAGGGGGTTACCTCATTTATAGGGCCTATGTACCCTGTTTCTAGAATTTGGAAGGGGTCAATTTTAAAAGCTGCTGGGCCCCAGTGGCTTGTGATGACTTAAGCCCTGCATGTCTGTCGCTCCTGCTGGATTTAAGCCACCCAGGCACCACCTGTCCTTGGCCTCTGTTTCTCATGGGGCTGGGCACGGCCTTGCCCACAGCGGAAGTGCTCAGGAGACCTCTCCATGGCCCTTCCGCTGCGTGGCCGTAACCCCCCTCCCCCCACCCCGCCTCCGGCTCGGCCTGCCTGGCTGCTGGGCTCCCACGTCGGCCCCCTGGCCCTGTGTTCTCCTGCCTCATCACAGGATGGTTCCTCTGAGTGGTTCTTGCTGCTTCTTCCAGGCACCTTGGCTGGGGTCATCGATCTTGCCGTCGACTGGATGACCGACTTGAAGGAGGGGGTCTGCCTGTCTGCCTTCTGGTACAGCCACGAGCAGTGCTGCTGGACTTCCAACGAGACCACTTTTGAGGACAGGGACAAGTGTCCCCTATGGCAGAAATGGTCGGAGCTGCTGGTGAATCAGTCGGAGGTGGGTTTCTGGGGTCCTGGCTGGGGACGCCCGCCATTCCACGGGTGCTTTGCAACACCACTGGGCCTTCTGTGCCTGTCTGGGCTTCCTTCCAGGGTCTTTTCTGTCCTTCCAGGGTCTGTTCTGATAACTGTCCTTGGCTCAGTCCCAGCGCGACTTGGCTTCTTCCAGCTCTGATGTGCCAGCTAGAGCAGGATAAGCTTTCCCTACTGATTCACGTGCACGATATATGTATATATTTGTAAAAGTCTTGTTGTTTCTCTTACCAAGAGTGGTTTGCTGACTGTGCTGAAGAAGCAGCATTGCTTTGTATATCTTCTGAGAAGTTATCTTTTCTTTGGTTAAAAACAATACGAGCTTTATGAGATATGATTCACATTCTGTATGGTTCTCCCATTTAAAGTGTACAGAGCACTAGCTCGTGGAAGATGCACAGTACACTTTTAGAACCCTTCATCATCCCAAAGGAAACCTGGTACCCATTAGCAGCCGCTCCCCACTCCTCCCAGCCCACCAGCCCTAAGCAACCTCTGATCTCTCTGTCTCCAAGTGGAATCCTACACGATGTGGACTTTGGTGTCCCACTTCTTTCACTCAGCATCCTGTTTTTTAGGTTCATTCATGTGGTAGCATAAATTGGCGTTCCCTCCCTTTTCGTGGCTGAATCCTGTTTCATTGTATGGCTAGACCGTATTTATCCACTCCATAGTTGAGGAACACAGGCTGCTTTCGCTCTTGTGCTGTTAGGAACGATTTTGTTTTGAACGTTTGTACACAGGTTTTTGTGTGGGCATATTTTTCATCTCTCTTGGGTCTAGACTTAGTCGGGGAATTGGTGGGTCCTATGGCAACTCTGTGTTAAGCCTTTTGAGGAATATTTTCCAGAGTGATCTTGCCACTTTCCAACCCCACCAACTGTGTGTGAGGGTTTCTGTTGGCCCACCTCCTCGTCAGCACTTGTGATAGTCTGGATTCGATTCTAGCCATCCTAGCAGGTGTGATGTGCCATCTCAGTGTGGTTTAAGTGCTCGTCTTCCAGTGCATTTTAGGAGTGCATTGTGGAAGATGTTTCTGGGCCTTCTGTGATAGGAGTGTTCCGGTGAACTACAGACTGGCGCTTGCCTTCACGGCGCTTAGAGCTTCACATCTGTCCAAAAGCCTTCATTCGGGAAGAAGGTTAACTTGTAACTGAATTCAGTGGCGATTACGGTGACTCTGGGTCATGGACAGATCAGAAACCCAGGTGGGGCGGGGGAGCTAGGTTGGCGAGATTCACATGAGGGGTAATGCGAGGATGTATTTCTGGAGGATGGATGTGCTTTATCCCTTTTCTCCTCCACCCTGCAACCACACACTCTTTTTTTTTTTTTTGCCCGATACCACAGCTGAAGGATATGTGGAGTGCACTTGGCCATTTTGCTAAACCTCTTCCTCAGTGGAATTGAAAATTAATTCCTTCCAATCTCAGAAGTAGACAGGGATCTTGAAATCTCACACATTCTCAGTGCTCTCCATTACTTCCCCAAAAAGTCTCTATTTGGGTTGATGGGAGTGGGCAGGCAGAATTGGCTGGACACCATATTTTATTTCTTGTCTCCTACCTGCACTATGTTTTTTTGGGGGGGAAATATGGCTGTCCATGTTTTCAACCGTTTCTAAGATTTATACTTTGATTCAAAGAATCACTGTTAGCAAGAATGAGAAGTTATTTTTAATCTCAAAAAAGTATGGTTTTAAGTGGGTGAAGAGTATTCCTCAGTCCGATTTCTCTTGCATAGGGTTGAATATACGTGACTGTAAAGGCCTCCAGGGCTCCTGGAACGTGGTTTTGCATTTAATAGACGCACATGTGGCCCTATCCATAGCCTGACTTGTAGGTGACCTCGCTTTCCTTCGCCCCTCACTTGACTAATCCAGATGGTGGCAAGAAGCTGAGGCCGAGAGAAATGTCTCCACCCAGCAGACCAGGTCCTCAGCATCAAAGACCCCAGACTGCGTGTTTGGTTCAGAGAGCATTCTTCATTCATCAGATAATTTGGAATTACTATTCAGAGCATTATTCTGAAGGAGATGATCGCGTTTTTCCCTCTAAAAGCGCCTGGCGAGCTCGCTGAAGCACATTTTGCTCCCCCCCCCCCCCGGGGGTGTCTGACTCAGCAGCCCCGGGGCAGTGAGTCTGCATTTCGCCCGCGTGCCCCGGGATGCTGATGCTGCGGGTCCGGGACCACAGTGGGTTTCAGTGCCGCCGCTTGCGCCGCCGTGGGTGGGGCCTTCATGAAGGCCGGGGAGGCCGCTGCACCGCAGCCGAGACACGACGAACCTTCCAGGGGCTCCGCGGCAGAGTTTTCGGCGTCACGCCTTTCATGACCTCTAGCGCGAGTGACGACGCCAGCCGAGGGCTGTCCGCCGCATCCATGCAGGCGGAGATCTCCGCCGGTGGAGGGCACGTGGAAACAGCTCCCGGAGGGACGCCGGGGGCTGGGTTGGTGTGTGCCTGCCGTCGCAAGAGCGGACACAGGGCCGGACGCGAAGCTGCGCAAGCCCCCGAAGCTCCCGCTGCCCGGGGGGAGGGGCGGGGGGCCGGCGGGGGGGCGGAGCTCGGCTCTGCCAAGGCTCACGTGTTCTTTCTTGTTTTGTGTGTGTTGTCCAGGGTGCCAGTGCTTACATTCTGAATTACCTCATGTACATCCTGTGGGCATTGCTGTTTGCCTTTTTGGCCGTCTCCCTGGTGCGCGTGTTTGCACCATATGCCTGTGGCTCGGGTATACCAGAGGTGAGTGGGGGCCGAATTTCTCTTGTGCCAATAATAAGCAAAGCAAATACTTACGTAGCACTTAGGTGCCAAGCACAGTCCCGAGCATTTGGTATCTGTTAACTCATTGAGTCCTTCCGGTGAGCCTGTGAGGCAGGCTCTGCTATATTTCATGTGATAGTTGAGGAAACTGAAGCACAGAGAGGTTAAGCAACTTGCCTGAGGTCACACAGCTGGTTAGCTACAAGTTGAACCCAGCTGTCTGGCTTCAGGATTTATGCTCTGTATTCAGGATTTATGCTCTTTTGCTTCTCAGATGATTAAATTCTTGTCTTTGCAAACCAGGCATAACTCTTAAAGCCTGTGGAATCTGAGTTCATTAACCACATACATAAATGTGGCACTTGAGAAACTTGTCAGTGCATCTATGACGTCATGTGAAAAAAGACAGTAACGGAGGTTTGTTGCTCGGAACGTTGACTGATGAGTCAACTCTCTTATGAGTCAACTCCCTTGCCACGTTTTGCTCCTCTGGTGACAGGGTGATAGCAATCTCTAAAATACGTAATTCCACATTCAGGGCATGCACCGAGAATGCACCCCTGTGAGTTAGAGTTCTTATATCGTCTAGCACTCTCATGTAACCCGAGTATGAGGGAGGTGACCTCACTGATCGAGAAGAATGCCTGAGATTAAACTTCAAATCTAGGAGGCTACAATAATGATAATTGAGCAAGTTCCTCCAAAAGGCCAGAGAGTGAACATTTTAGCCAGAAAGAAGTTTAAAAGTTCTCATATTGGGGTGTCTGGGTGGCTCAGTCGATTAAGTGACTGATTCTTGTTTTCAGCTCAGGTCATGATCTCAGGGTCGTGAGATGGAGCCCTGCGTGGGGCTCCTCACTTAGCTCGGCATCTGCTTGGGAATCTCTCTCCCTCTCCCTCTGCCCCTTCCCCCTGCGCTCTCTCTCTACAACCAATAAATAAATATGTTTTTTAAAAAGTTCTTATATTGTCACGATAATCAAGCTGGTGCTTCAGCAGTGCCCCTAGAGGTGGAGATGGTGAGTTTAAAGATGCAACCCGTGGTGGCAACAGACCCACATTGGTCCCTGCTCCCCTGCACCCACACTCTTTGGTGGTACTTGCCGACACAGCCGCTGTTCTGGGCAGTTCTTGGACAGGGCTGGAGTAATTGAAAGATTGTCAAAAGCAAAGCCCAACGTTGTCCTGTTCAGGAAAGAGAGAAAAATAGAGTATGTCATGCTGACTTTTTGTTGGTTTGCATTGACATACTGCGGCAGGAACCAGAAGAGCAAGCCGCAGCACCATGCTGTTGCCTTCGTAGAGTCCGTTCTGCTCCCGTGCGGCACGGGCGTTCCTGCAGGTCCCGGGCTGTGCAGCAATGCACGGGCAAGCCCTCCGCCCTGGCGAGCAAACGGCAGCAGGAGCCCAACAGTCAGAAACTTCATCAGCGACGCATGTGAAAAGATAGAAGCCTAGAAAAACAGTAGCCCAGGGGCGCCTGGGTGGCTCAGTTGGTTGGGCATCTGCCTTCGGCTCGGGTCATGGTCCCAGGGTCCTGGGATCGAGCCCCGCATCGGGCTCCCTGCTCGGCGGGAAGCCTGCTGCTCCCTCTCCCTCTGCCTGCCGCTTCCCCTGCTTGTGCTCCATCACTCTGATAAATAAATAAAATCTTAAAAAAAAACCAACCCAGTAGCCCAGTTTACACGTGTGAAACAGTTAAGAAACACAGACTCGCCAGCGCACGTGTGACCTGGTAGACGTTGGAGGCCCACGCTGTGTGCGTTTTGTGCCTTCCTGCGCAGCTCCGTTCTGGTGGTGGCATTTTCTGCGTAGTTCCGTGTTTCTCCCAGATGAAATTGGGCATAAACAGACGCGAAATTTGCATTATGCTCTAGTTCTTCCCCAATGCCTGAATCACACTGGAACAAATTTGTGTTTTCAAAACCAGCGTTACGGCAGAACGGACTGTGTCGTATTTGGTATCTTAAGACCCAAGGCCCCCTGGACGCTAAAGAGCACAGACTGGTGTTGGCCTCTCCGTTTGATGACCCCACTGCCTGACAGTAGGCTTTTTTGGACCCAAGCTACCTTTCCAAAATGAGCAGGTGGCCGATGGGGAATTGGAAAATTTAAAGCAGCAATAAAAGGGGTGATGGCAATCCCATCGTCCCCTTCCAAGAACCAGAGACACATGGCTCAGCTTGTGATCTTGTAGACAGACAGGGGGCTTGGACGTGAGCTCTGTCTGGGAGGGGCTGCCTGGACTTGGTCTTCGTCCAAAGCGGGCATCTCTTTGTGACAGCTGAACTCGAAAGGAGTTAAATCCGAAGCCGAGCATGACGTTCCCTATGTGGTGGACGTGCAAGCCACACACTGGTGTGCATGAAACTCAGGAGAGCTGTAGCAAGTGAAAAAAGTGGCAAAAGAATATATAAAGTATGGTTCTATTTATACAAAGTCCACAAACAGCCACAGTGAAACCACACACTGTTTGGTGACACACATGTATGCTCAATGTATAAAGGTAGGCAAGGAAATGATTGGGCTCGGGGAGCAGGAAGGTTCCACCGAGGAAGCAAACACAGGGCTTTCATAGGTACCCACTCTTCTCTGAAATGTGCTGGTGGGTACAGGGTGCTTGTTTTATTAATACACTTTTAACCATATATCACATGTAACAGATTCATTTCTCAATTTGTGAAAGAGTTCACAATCTTTTTTTTTAAAGTTTTATTTATTAGAGAGAGAGTGTGCACGAGCGGGTGGGGGGAGGGGAGAGAGAGCACAGAGGCAGAGGGAGAGGCAGACTCCCCACTGAGCAGGGAGCCCCACACGGGACTCGATCCCAGGACCCCGGGATCACTACCTGAGCCCAAGGCAGACGCTTGACTGAGCCACCCAGGCGCCCCCACAGTAATCTTTTTAAGTGCCAGGAACCCAGTGGAGGTTTTATAATTAAGTTTTGGTTAGTATGATTCAGTAGTAGCAGAATTCTCACTATTACTATGGGACAGCTTCAAATTCCTAACCTTAGGGTCCAGCTCTTGGAGGAAAGGGACAGAGTAAAAAGGAAATGTAGATAAATGTTTCATGCATAAAAAGAACCTCCTAGTCAAAACCTGGCTAGCTGTGTAAACCGACTTCACTCGAATTGAGATGCAGGCCCATTCTCCCTCATTTTAGCAAAGGTACTCACTGAGCTATTCAGAAAATAAACCCTTCGTCCGTGGCTTGAAGTGTCAGAGCGCACTTGGGCGGTGGTGCCCTTCGGCACATTTACAAACTGCGCATTCTCCCTGGCGTTTGCTTCTGAAACATTTTGATTGCCTGGAATGGACGTTCCTTTGGAAACATTTTTATTTTATTTATTTAATTTATTTTTAAAAGATTTTATTTATTTGACAGCGAGAGACACAGTGAGAGAGGGAAC